CCTTTGCGGCATGGGCCAGTGAGTCGTCCTCCCTGTGCAGAGATGGAAGAGATGGATCCCGAAGGAAGGCGAACTAGTTTCTTGCCAATTCTGCCTATGTGCTCTGACTTTGCCTTGGCAATGGCAATGAAGGACCCGGAGGCGGAATTATACTTCTTTTAAAGGGCGCTGGTGTTTACATCCCGGGATGTTGATGCGTCAGCCCAGGCCCGGTAGCACTCCTGCTTGTAGAAAAAAGTCGAGTTGAGAACCTCCTCCTTTTTGGAAGTCGGTCGAAAAACAAAAAAGTAAAAAAACGATTACGAAATAAGCGCCGCATTTGAGTGCACTAGAACATAATATAAACATAACAACATAAACTTTCACGCCTGTCACCCAGAGGAGTAGGCAGAGACTACGGACTTCCATTTGGCACGATCCTGGCACACCTCTCTCGCCTACTCCACATTCATATACCTACGCATACAAGCTCGTTGGTTAAGGGTACCTACTCTTAATTTGGCCCATTTTCAATATATCGATCACACAATTTCTCATCCTGCCATTCAGATTCAGCCCTAACATACTCCTTAATGACCGCATTTCTACAGCATTTATTCTACTCCCGTGCTTATTCTGCCACACACAACTTTCACTACCATACATTAAATTAGGGACTAACTCAGCACTGTGAGTTGCCATACATGCATAGATCATTAGCCTTACTAAATTTTAAATGACCAGTTTTTTAAATAAATAAATTTTTTGGTAAAGCCAAACTATTTTTGGTGTATTTTCTAAAGTTAAAAAAATGATTGGTGAAATCACTACCATTTTAATATGCTCCGCGAAAATTATAAAATATTGAACTATCTTTGGAAAACAGTTTTAGGTGGAAAATTTTATTAAATCGTATTTTTGCTTTAACCAGAATCTTGTAAATATGTATAATCAAAAACATATGTATAAAAATTAGATCCACATCGTATCTACAAACGAATATAATTTGGATCGCATGGACCCTTTTTAAACAATGCCTACCCTTAAGTGGATTCATACGATTCCCAGATTCTGACTGAGGTTCTTTATTTTCTCAATTTTACCAACTATTATTTATTCTGTGATTTTACTTATATGAGTCAATATCGTTTTGTTACTTATATTAGAGGCTGTAGTTTACTATAACGTGGTTTGAAATGTCTTCTTCCACTATATTTGAGTTTAACATTTCGGGTTATACCAGAGGTTCATTTTTCTGCCGACTTCCAAAAAGGAGACGGTACTCAATTCGACTCGTATGTTTTTTTTATGAGTGTTTCCTCATAACTTTTTACTGTGTGAACCGATTTCGATGATTCTTTTTTATATGAAAGCTGATACTTCTTTTGTGGTCCCATATGAGTGTGATCAAGGTCAGACCAATAGTTTTTGAGTTATTTGAGTTATTCTTAATAACTTATATTGAAGTCGGCTGTACAAAATTTTAAATTTTAAATTATGAAGTCTAAATCTCAAGAAGGATGTGATTAAATCATTTTTGATATTCTGCCGTGTTAATTATATATTTGACAACACTATTATAATCCTTCGATTGAAAATTTAGTAGCACGCATTTAAGGATTTTTGGATATCCATTCTTAACGTTAACATAGGGGATGAAAGCTATTATAAAATTGTAAACTATTTTGAAGCGGTTTTCAATTTATCAATATATTATTTATTGTATACGAATACCCATTGAAACAATAACAAAATTAAATAAACAAAATAGGTACAATGGGCGGTCTTATCGCTCTTGAAGCGATTTCTTACAGACAACTTTATTACGCAAAGAATATTATTGTTTACAACGAATGTCTAGGGGATATATAAATAACCGGCGAAGTGCGAGTCAGACCCGCGCATAAAGGGTTCCGTACCATCGTAGATTTTTACTTTTACTTAGAGCCACTTTAAATTTTTATTATTTTTTGTTCCGTACCGGAACCCTAAAAAAGAACATACAGTCGAATTGCGAACCTCCTTATTTTTTTGAATTCGGCTAATAATTTACACATTTTACATTAAGACATATCGGTGATTGAATGAGCTAAAGTACAGAGTTGAATGAAAGTACTTACAAAAAATATTGTAGTTAACATTTTTTCTCCATTTTATGACTATCATACTTACATCATACGTTGAAGTTGAACCATATTGTTGACAAGATTTAAAGAGAAACTTAATGTAGATTTAGTAAAGCTTTAAGATACTTAATACAACAATGAGGTGATTTACTGTCAATGACATATAAAGGTGACACATAACATGCGTTATACAATTAAGTAAAACATTTATAATAATAAAAACAACAAGATGTATGATGGGACGAAGTATGATGGGGATTATAAGAGTTTCAAGTAATAAGCTTTGAGTTAGTTTTTGAAGGAAAAAAGGATTGAGCACGGCGAATACATATTCGTATTACTATATATTAGAATATATATCCGTATACTATACTCCTTACCTCTACGTAGAGGCAAGGAGTTCCACAAGCGTACAGCTATAACAGAAAATAAATTAATTGCAGGAGGCAGTTTGTTAGATCGGTTTTTCACTATTCGAAAAGACTTCTAACTTAAAATCTGCGGTCATTGTCGTTCCGAAATATGAGGAAGTTTCCATGCGATAGCTTGATCTCGTCGTATTCTGCGATCTCATAATAAGTGTGCGTCGTGATTGTCTGGACGTTATAACGTGGGCGCGGGTACCACCGCGAGGCGAAAAGCTAGTCATAGGTTTTTTTTTTATTGGATAAGGGTGACAAACGAGCACACAGTCCACCTGTCCAATAGTATGTGGTTCCTCCGGCCCACAGACATCTAGATCTATCCTCGATTACGAACCAAAATGCAGATGCTTTGTCACCCGTGAGGACTAAGATGGAATGCCTCCTTTCCAGTAAAAAGGGTATCCGGTTCTCTACACTCACCATACGAAACAGCGGCGTTAAGCTGCTATTTTACGCTGGTATTCTGTGAGAGCTTGGTCCTCTTCCCCGGTCGAGCCGACACATTTGTGCTACAACTATACTACTATTATAGCTGCAGCATGGCTCTACCACGTAAAAAAACGTAATTACGTATTTCCCCTCAGTGTTATGTAATATACGTAATAGAGTTTTTTTTATTATAGTTATGGACGGAATTGGTTTGCGATGAATCGTGCGCGTTAGTTATAGTATAAAAACCTTAATTTTATATATTAGATTACAACTTCTTATATTTATGTTTTTCTTATCTTAAAACGTTGTCCAATCTTTGTTTTACGTTTTTTTTTTTTCTTTTTTACTAATATTTTTTTTTAAACTTAAACAACATAAAGGAGACAATTTCTTTTTGTATGGAGAATGGGCCCACCACGAATTTCAGAGAACTTTAAAGAAATATATGTCCATTTATTCCTTATATTCCTTATAATAGATTACAAAATTAATATTAGTTTTATCGCATCTAATGGGAATTCTGAGAAATTAACAATTGAAATATGAATATCACAATAACCTTAAAACAAACTAAACGCGATTTTCTAGTAGTTTTCACAGATATTATGACTTAGAATAGTGTATATAGAATAGAATAGCTTAATAATTCATAGTATTATAAAGTTGTAGGTACATTCAGCAATTATAGGTACCTACTTTAAGATTGATGGAAAATCCTTTTAACACTTCCTTCACGTAGTGCACAGACAAACAAACGTAGTGTTGGGGACTATTTTTTACAGGTATTAATTGATTAGAGAATATACATCACAAGCACCATTAAAGTAATTAAATAAACATGATTAAAGACGAGATGAATAACGGATAATATGTCCATTTATAATAACCTTTACATGCTATATAGTAAGAAAAATGTTTTAAACTGTTTGTATAAGGCTAAAACACAAAGTAAAATGCCACTGCATTTATTGTTGTAATTATTTCCAAAGCAGTCTATTAATAGAGGAACAGACAGACAGGTGCGGTGTCAAGACTTTAATATGTTTTGATTGAATCAGTAAAGGTGCAGTGTGTAAACTTTGTTTTAAAATATACTAACTGATTAATTATCATACCACAAATACCATTAAAGCCAAAATGACTATACACACAACATACACACCTGAGAAAGTTAATGAATATTATATATATATATATATATATATATATATATATATATTATTTTTTTCTATATTTATTGCAATCTAAATAGCATGTGAGGTCTATGTTTATGTTTGTATTGATTTACATTTCGAACACCATAAAGCAAAAAAAACACATCCACATATGACATTGATAGAAATCAGGACATTTTCAGTAATAATAGATATGAGATAAGACTATGTATATACTATATACATAGTATTTTGTTCTCTGCCTGTATGTTAAATAAATAAGAAATTATTATAAAATATACACCATTAATCAGCTCCAGATGACCAAATACACAAGTAGTAATTATGGATTTACATCAACAATATTTAACTATGTATAAGTTGTCTGACTTCTTATTTTCACTGGCTTCATGTAGAGCGAAATGATATCAAAAATTTTAATATGTTAGTGAGTTTTAATTCCGTTATTATCGTTTTACTAGTTTTTCATTTATTTGTCTAAATAAAAAAAAAACCATCTTCTACTATTGTTCGTTGGGCACCGACAGAATAACATTGATGTGACTGTGGCAATACGCCTACAGCAATATGCTGAATCAGATGCCCTTTATTTTTACATTCTGATAGCTGGAGAACGTTGTTTTAGTGACGAATAAACATTTCATTGATTCTAAAAGTTTTATATTCATTTTTTTTACCAACACTGTGTAATCTCAAATTTATTAATTGATCAAGTTATCAATCAAGGTCTGGATGATTGTACTTGTGCAATTTATGTTTGTAAACTGCCTCCACGACAGAGGAGAAAATCCTAGTAACGGTAACGTTTTTTAAAAGATAACGATAACGATAATTAATCATCAACGTAATTTTTTATTTTTCAGCACCAGTTCCCGGCGATGCACGATTTGAAATTGGGCGGGATGCTGTACCTGGCCGGCGTATTCTTTTTCAAATCCGATGGACGCATACCCTTTGCACATGCAATATGGCACATGTTTGTAGCCCTCGCTGCCTCCGTTCACTACTTAGCCATCCTCCGACATCTCTTCCCCGAGCTAAAATCTCAATAAAGTCTGCTCCATCAACCTATTCAAACTCTAATAACGGAGTCCTCCAAGCAACTTGATAACTACGAAATGTCAGATGTTAGTTAGATATGGCCGAAAATGAAAAAATTGAATGTGTGGATGTTTAATATAATAACATGAATTATTTCTATTTTATTGTATTAAGTATATTATTGTAGTGATTATGCGACTTGTAAATCCCGTTCCATTATTTTGACATGTAGATTTTAATTTCGGTTATCTGGACCGCAGGGTTTGTAGTTTCTAAAATTAAGATCTACACGGTATTGTTATACGTAGTAACACCATAAGAACGAAACACAAAAAACTCTTAAAATTTCTCACAATAATCGTGTGCTACTTGTTAAGTTTATATAACTCACGCGATTTCATATCTAATTAAAACGCATTTATTATTAATTAATACTAATTTGTAACCTCCCACCGCGGGGTTAAACCTGCCTGCCTCGATATTAATCTAGCGTAATGAGGCGATGTGTTTAAAGATTACATTCAAACATAGCTAATATCAGAAATTAGATCATGCACATGATACTCTTTTTTTGTAGATTATTTTGATATGTGTAACAAACCGCTGGTCGGGCTCGTTCGGCGGGTTATCTAAATTAACAAGCTGACTTATTTTACAAATATAATATATGCTAATCATTTTTTTCGGCCGCGAACATTTAATGAAATTCAAGTGTTCCAATCATTTATTGTGACAAATAAAACTAAATATTTTTCGATCCTAAATTATTAAAAAAGAGGTAAATATTTAGAATCGTTTAGCAGGATGGGGGGATGTCCCCTACTTCTGTATTGTTTGTAAACAATAAACATAATTTAATATGAGAGCAAAGACCACAGAAGAATAAAAATACCATAGAAGTATAATAATGTGACACTAGTCTTTGACATGGTTTTACGTCCTTGTCGCACTTACACAAAATTATACTATCCAGCTTTCACAGAGTAATTTTGCATTCGTTTTTCCATGTTTAACCCGTTTTTAAGTTATAATAGCTTTTTTTTATTTTCTCGAAAATTGCATTACCGTTTAATGCGAGTGATATTGTTATAATCGGGGACGAAACCTCTACCAAATTCAACATCTCGCTTCTCCAAATTCATGCCAAACGATTCTAAATTCAACCCAAAGTAAAAAACCCTTTTTGTATTACAGTAACATAACGAATGTTTGTATCATCTTTGACTTTACGTGCCAGAAGTTTTTGTAGCAGAAACACTTTGTTATTAATATTGTCATGCTAACAATCTGAGTGGATCACGTTCGGCCAAATAGATAACTAATCTAAATATGTGTATATTTTGTAAAATAATGTTGAATATTATTCTACTATTGTTGTAGTGTTCGTAGTATCTCTAATTCTCGAGACCAATCCATTTTTAGAGTGTTTAAAGTATAATGGAGTTTTTAGAGACTTTTATATATTATCTACATATACGAATCCCATTTTTCAGTGAGACCTTTTTATACATCTCAATCTGAATTTCGCTTAGATTAGATTGGTATACTGTATGCTCGAGTAACTAGTTTAATGGACTTGTGCGTAAATGTATTGTAAATTATATTTTAATTAGACTTGCAACGAATATACGGCTATTATTTGGTATCCGGCCTATTCGGCTACTTTATCCTATGCGCCCGAATACCGATTTTTTTTTAAGTAGTCATAGGTACATGATCGACTTCCATATTATAAAAATTCAAAAAAAGAACTATCAGATAAATGTCTATAAACTCGAATTATCGTAATTGAAATGGAAGATAATGGTGCAGAAAGACTACATTTTCTCCATTTTCAGGCAGTAGTTTACTCCTTTTCTTATAGACAATCCCAGCTTCAGAGAATAGACGCTTTGAAGAATAAACACTACTCCCCGGCCGAATACTTTTGCCTAATATTCGGCTATTCGGCCAGGCAGTCCGCAGAATATTCGGAATTCGGCGTGTGGTCGAATATAATATTATTCGTCGCAAGTCTAATTTTAATACTTACCTCGTCTATCGTAGCTTGTAGGTACGCTATGTTTTGTTTATTACTGGTGTACGTATTCCATGTTAAGCCTTTTGCTCAATCAAACGTACACCTATACGTAGTTTTTTCTTTTCATAGATGTTCATGTCATGACACCTGTCTCGTTTCGGAGTAAACTGTGTAAAAGCTCTGCACGGGCTTAAACATGTAATGCAGGTAGTCCAAATCTTCCTTACTCCAAGAGGTAAATTAGACGGCTTACTTGAAATAATTATTTTTTGTATCTTAGACATAATATTCAAGATATTTTCTATCTATCTAATAGTTCACACATACATCTAAAAAACTGCCAGTGATATCGTATAGTATTTAGAAACTAGGCCAGACGACAATTGTACATTACATACTATATTACATTCCAGTATGGAATTTAATATAGTTAGTCATCTTAAATTTATATTTATATTAAATTTGGTCTAGCTATAAATTTAAACAAAATCTATTTTTTAAGGTAAGAAATTAAAAAATTCGTTTGAGAAACGCCCTTTTTTAATTTCGAATTCGTGACAAGACGAGGATCTTCTGATGAAAGGTAAAACCGCGAAAGAAACCTTGTCGGCGAAGGAAGAATACACCCGTCAGCAAAAAAGACGCATGTTCTTTGATAAAAATAAAGTGAAAACATAAGAGTATCGTAAACCCCAGCAGATCAGCTCACCTTAAAATTTTAATGTTTTACAATTGTTCTAGTGGTTGAAAACGCTACTGCCGGTAGTGTGATTCCGGTTTCGAATCCCGGGTCAGGCCGAATCAGTTATTGGGTTTTTCTATCAGAAAAGTTCCCAGTAGCAGCCCAGAGTCGGAATGTTGGCGGAGTTTTAACCCCGTGCCTCGGAAAACACGTAAAGCCTATGGTGCTGAGCCTAGTTATCCGTTCTTTAAGTTATATGCGAGTGAGGGAATAAAAAGAGCAGCTGTGTTTGCGCTCACACTCCTGCACTAGAATACTTTTCTTCGCACATGGCAAGTCTCCGTTGAAATTGTCCGCCGTGACCGAAATTTGGGCTGGACAACACTAAATTTAAAATTATAATGTAAAGTAATCAAAATAGATTATTTTGATTACATGTAAAATTATCATCTTAAAATTGACAACTCCAAAAATATTGTAATCGTTCTAGAATTCTAAGTCGTAATATATTAAATCACTTGGCATTGAGAATCGTAGAATTTAAAGCCAAATAAATTCTATGATAATTATAACTAATCTAGTCATAAATTTGCCGTAATTCTGCAAATTGGTGATCATTTAAATACATGATTTTATTTTGTGTAAATAAGCAAAACACTCCATAACGAGTTTATTTTAATGTTCCTGCATATATTGCATCCATTTAGAGAAAAGTTACAAAAGGAATTTACTTCTCTGGCATCTTAAATATTGCACGTAGACAAATACTTAATGACAATGAGTGGCAGATGGCAGTGCGGCAGTGCAGTTCAGTGGCTTATCTAATGTAAAACGGGCTTCAATTATTGTCTCTTCGTAGTTTCCAAATATTACAACTTTAGGATCCTAGAGCCGCTTTTAATCACATCGGAAAAGAGGCTATTGATCCAAAATATAAAGAAAGTCAGAAAATTAAAGATTCCTTTATGTTAGAGTAGTTTATGGTTGATCTCATACGAATAATAATTCGTTAATTTTAGCACATCAATTCTTGCTTTGTTTCGCCAATGGTGTTAAATAATAAAAGGTATGTATATACCTTAAATTATATAGTTTTTCGTGTTATGCATGTTAAATTAGGGACTTTTGATACTTTGAATGATTGAAGGTAGTCGGTCTAACAAGTACACTGCCGAACATCCTCCCTCTAGGAATGTTACAAAACACGGTCCTGATCCACCTGCATCTCTTATCAGGACATCACTCCATCTAGTGGTGGGGCCGTCCTCCACTTTGTTTACCGGTACGAGGCTGCCACTCGATAACCTTTCTTCCCCATCTGTTGTCGGTCTTTTGAGCTATATGGCGGCCCAATGCCACTTCAGCTTAATGATCCATTGAGCTATGTCAGTTACCCCGGTTCTACTGTCGACATACAATGTTCAACTTACCCACATTTTTATAGTTTGAATTTAAAATGTAAATGTCCAATGTTCTTACAATAATGATTAACTGAATGATCAAATAATGTTGCTGCAACACTTGTTCAGATGTAAACATACTTATCTATTTTAAGTAAATCTTCTGTTTCTCCGGCAAATTTATGTTTTATTATTATGAGAAATGATTTTTTTATATCAGTGAAGTATTAAAATTTTTCCATTAACTTAAGATGGGTATTTTTAAAATTATGTAAGTATCTGAATTTTGTCTCGTCTTCCAAAGATTGTTTTGTTTACAACTTAAAAGTAACCATTGACATAAAAAAAATAGAGCTATCTATTTTATAAAAGATTATTCTCTATATTTAGAAACAAATTCTCTAGGTATTCTTCTAAGATTGTGGTTTTTGGGCATGGTTTAGAGATTTTACTTACTCAATTTATTAATTTATTACAAATAATAATAAAAATATTGCCATTGTCATAAGAATGTAATGTTTCTTACAATAGAATTGTTAATTGGTTAAGTTAAAAGGCATTTGATGATATTTTAAACTCAAATAGTGTAAGACAATTTATTGTGGGTTTGTAATATCAAACTTTTTTGAATACTGTCAGTTATTTTCATAGTAAATTGTGTAATTATAATTTATTTATAGAAAAGAAAGTAAAGAGATGTTTATTTTTCATTATGTTACATACTTGATCATTATTATTTATAGTTATATATTAAACCTAAGGAGAATATTCACCACAATGTTTATTTGCTGTTCATTTTCAAGTGTACTTGAAACTACGAGAATTCGTATCGAAAATTATATTTATAATATGTTATATTTCAAAAGAACCATATTAGTAATGTCAGTAAAATAATCTATCTAATTTTTATTTAATGTTTCATGTCAAGTGATGCTATGTATAGTTTCCTTACAGGTTACACAGTGTTTTTATAAATGTTAACTTTTTGTTAATGGATCCAGGTACAATTTTGTAGAGGTTTTGGGAACTAAATAAAAATTTACAATCCATAGTTTTCTTTATTTCTATTGTGGTGAGTGGTGACATACTTCTTATATTAGTTAAACAATATAAATATAAAAAGGGATATTAAATTGTAGTACATTACATTTTTGAAACAGTTTTAATACCTAAAATATCTAGACATTTTTCCATAATTCTAGCTGTTACTTCACAGAGCATGAGCCTTTCATAGAAAATATTGACAATTTGTCCATCTTTATCCTTTTCAACACAGTAGCACTTGTCATAGAATTCAGTAAAGGTTGAAGAAATTTCATATAAATATTCACACAGGCTATGCAAGTATAAATCATTTGCAACTTTAAGAATAATTTCCGGAAACCTTAAAAGTACTTTGCCTAGTTTCCATTCAGATTCATGAGCAAGTTTAAAGCCTGATTTTTTAGCTTCCTCTAACAATTTGCTTTCTGAAATCTGTGCAGTTCTCGCAATAGATCTAATACGAGTTAAAGCATATAATAAATAAACTGCTGTATTACCTTTATCATCCAACATTTTGTCAAATGAGAAGACATAATCATTAATTCTATTATGTGACAAATCAGCATACTTAATACATCCATAGGCAACAGCTTCTTGAGCTTTTTTTAATTCTTCAGGTGTGAGAACTTTGTCTCTACCTTTTTCTACTAATTTGTCAAGTGCCCTCTTTAGCCCTTCATCAAGCAATTCAATTAGCTTTACAGTGTCGCCAGATCGCGTTTTAAACTTTTTCTTATCTTCTCCAAGCACTACACCAAAACCAACATGTTCTACTTTCTGTCCATTTTTAAGAATTCCAGCTCGTCTAGCACAGGCATCAATTGTCATGAAGTGGGTATATTGACCAGCATCTGTTACATAAATAAATCTATCTCCTTTTTCCTCCTCTACTCTTTGTTTAATTGCTGTTAAGTCTGAAGTATCATATGTATAGCCTCCATCTGATTTAACAACAGTCAACGGTATACCTTCATGACTTTCAGGATTTCCCCACATAATCAACCTTCCTTCATCTTCTTCAAGAAAACCTTTTTCTTTTAATTCTTTCACTACAGCATCCATCCTACTCTGATAGAATGACTCTCCTCTATCTATTATATTTATGTTAAGACGATCATAAATCTTCTGAAATTCTCTACGGGACACTTCACAGATAAGTTTCCAAGCTGCAATAAAATCAGGTTGGCCGGATTGCAACTGCACTACACAAGAATAAGCTCTCTTTTTAAATTCTTCATCTTCATCAAACCTTTTTTTAGATTCCTTATAAAAGGCTTGTAAATCAGAAATAGGTGGTGAATGAGTCTTGTAATCAGGAAACTTTTCTTGTAAATGAGCAATTAACATTCCAAATTGGGTACCCCAATCACCTAAATGATTCAATCTCAAAACATCGTGATTTAAAAATTCTAACACACGACATATGCTATCACCTATGATCGTAGACCTTAAGTGACCTACATGCATTTCTTTAGCAATATTTGGTGAAGAAAAATCAACAATTACTTTTTCTTTTTTAACCGGAGGGGGTTTTACACCTAATTGAAGTATGCAGTTCAACACATGCTCAGCAAATGCCTTATGTAAATAAATATTTAAAAATCCTGCACCAGCCACTTCAATTCTCTCTATAAGAGGTGACAATGGCATCTTATTAAGAATGTTATTAGCTACTTCCCTAGGATTTGTTTTCACATTTTTAGCTTTAAGCAGCTGAGAGATAGGCATTGCCGAATTACACTGATAGTCTCCGAACTTAGGGTTATTGCCAGAAAGTGTAATTACTAATGGTGGGTCATCTAAATCAGGGTATGCAGAAGTGATTGCTATTTCAAAGACGTTTTTAAGTTCATCTAATATGCATACCGTACCTTCAATTGAATTAATATCTGTGATTAAATTAGGTCTTTTTCTTGATATTTTTGATCCCTGGTTAGCGCTTTCTGCTTTGATAGCATTCTCAAGTATCGCTAAGCGATGTTTAAGTTTTTCGTTCTCCGATAAAAGTTTTTCTAAGCGTGGATCTGCAACATGACTTAAATCATCTTTATCAAGTTTGTCAATTTCTTCCTCAATAGCTTTAGTATCTTTTTCAGCTTTGCTAGTTCTCTCATTCAAGGTTTTCAGGTTTGACATTGTACAATGCGCTAGGCGCTCTACAAAATAAGTTATGAACTTATTTATTTTTTGTTACAAAAGACTAAATAAATATCGTCGTAATTATTGTAGTGAATACGAATTTTTTAAAGAAATATTAACTTTAGTAAAATAAAAATTTGAAGAGGTTATAAAATAGAATATAGACAATTGTCACGTTGACGTTAAAAGCTTTAACGTCAACCTACCGTCACCGTCAAACGTCAAAACACGCATGGCAAAACCAAAGAGAATATAATCACTACGGGCAAAACCAAAAACATGTGCGCAAAGGCGCAAAGAGATCTATGTTGTTTCACAACATTCTTCACAATGTTGATGCCCACATTCCGAAGGTATTGGAAGATTGCCAGCTCAACTCAGATAAAATAACTTGAAGGTTTGTATGAACATCGGGGAACTTCGTAAAAACAATTGTTTTATTACTAGTTTACATAAGTAGTCATATATTACACAAAATCGTATTAATATATAAGTAATCTACTTCAGTACGAGTATTAAGCGATAATACAAGAGCAGCAATCCTTCGTTGGCTATCAAGATCCAGACAAAAAACTGCGCAGAGAATGTTCATTAGTGATGAAAAAGCTATATTTCTCTGTCTACCTATCTATATTCCCGAAGTTTTATTAAGATATTATATTCCATGGCTAATTACCAATACATACAGTTTTTTGTAGCTTTGTATCATTCTTTGGGGGAGGCCTATGTTCAGCAGTGGACTTGTGACTTGTGAAGGGATCATGATGATGATGATGATGACAGTTTTTTTATTCGTTTGTAATATTTATTAGACAATTTATTATTAAAATGTTCAATAAGTACTTGCCTATAGAAAATTAATTTAAAATATTGGCAAATTAATAAATACATTTTAAAACTCGGAGAGATAGGTACTATGTAACAAAACATATCGGAGTTTTTGATCTGAATCAAAAATTATATAAGTAATCCTTAATGTTCTGAGAAGCATTTATTAGTTTGTGGTTCTGAGTTAACTGCGTTTTAGGCATGTTGCCTTAGAGTATACATAAGCAAGCTGTAGATCGCGAAATAGCGAGTATGAACAGTAAGTACGGTTACGAACAGTTTCGAAACTGTAAAAGCTATGCTATTAGTCACAAAAAAAATGCGCTCTGATTGTATCTCTCGTCGGTATCAACTTTAATTTTAAGTTATTATGGTATAATGGGCAGTAACAAGCACTAAAAACGATTCACGGCAGCAAATTTAGAAAAATCAATTATCAAAATATTAGTTATCGATGAAAAGAAATATCATTTCTTTTCATCGATAAGTAATATTTTGATAAGAAAACACTGATTTAAAAAAATAGCAGGTCAAACTATTGTTGGTCAAACCAAGGTGTCATACTTTTAGTTAAAACATGCTTGTTTTGACCATCCTATAAAAGCCGTTGCATTTAGAATAAGATTCATAATAGAACTCATCGTAGTCGTGTAATCACATTGTTAAGAAAGTCAGTATTGCACTGAATTAGTTTTAATACATTATTGTAACGTAATAGTAATGAATGTCATCGAGACATATTTAGTTGTTTCTAAAAATCTTCAGCACCGCTCCTGAAACTTAACTACCTAAGACTGCAATCAAGCAAACAAAACGACAATTATATTGATAAGTTAATCCCTTTTCAGGGGCAGTGAGTTAATTATATATTTGTTTGATTAATAAACATAGTTTTATAAATTCATACCTGTTTTATTGATTCGCTAAAACCTATCTTATTAATTACTTACCTACTTAATATTTACTAAATACTTATTTTGCTAAACTAATAATTTAAGTATATTAACGCATCAATCATGGCATAGTGAATTCAACCACTTCATCTATGTATCAGTATTTCTATAGAAGATCTGCTTAAATTAGCAAACTGCTTAAATGAGCAAATAGCGTTACGCGCGCTCCATAGCTTGCTTATGTCACACTCTAAACACGTTGCTATCGTTACCAAGTTCAAACAAACAGTGACTAAATCTAAGAGTAATCAAAATGGGTTCAAAAAACCAGTGTCAATGTAAACTTCAATAATAAATTATAACTGTGAATAGCTGGTGAAAAGTGCACCTAAGAGTAATAATAGTGTTTTGTAAAATACATACCCTACTAAAGATTGAGATACATCTCAATTTTAAAACGTTATGGTTCTATTATGTATTCTCGGTCAATACAATATATTTTGCAGAAAAAACAATGCGATTTTTGACTGTTTCATTTAGTTAACACTATTTAATTCAATAATTTTAACTCTGAATTATGGCAAAAAAGGCAAATAGATTTAAATACACGACAAATGATAGTGAAAAACCATTTTGGCTTGACGACATCTCCAAGTAATGAAAATGATTATAGAATATAATTATGTTTATCTATATATTATAGAGTTATTGTTATGCTTGATTTGACTATTTAGATTTTAATTTTTTACAATATTTTACTAAAACTTTTAATATTTTAGGAAGATGAAGGAGACTCATATTAAAAATAATAGTAGTGATTCTTCACCAAGTCGCGAGAAAACGAAACATTTTTCAAATACGAGCATAGAACACAGGTATATCAGTGTATCTTATTGCCAAATACTCAAACGCTACTCAATTTTAAGATGTCGTTAAGTCTTGTGGTGTCACAGACTCACAGTCACTGACTTAAAGTGATAGAGACAGCACGAGAATTAACAGTATGTATCTCAAAGTCAAAATTGAGCAGCGTTCGCTGCGTTTGAGTATTTGGGCATTAGTGACTTGGATTGGTTGCTTTTTCGAAGAAAATAAAGTACTTATAGGACCTACAAATAGAGGAAATATACTAACGAGATTAACTTTAAATATATTTTAATTAGTTCTAATTTTAATTTAGATTATCACGGCGAACATCATTGGATGCGACTATTGATTTACCACAGCGGCCGAAAAATCATTCCATTGCTCATTCTGCCGGTACATTGCGTCGAAATAAAGGTAGATTTCTGAAGGTTGTATTTATTTGTTATGCTCATACGACGGGCGTTCATAGAAGTGAGAATGTGGTACAGTCTTTGAAATTTAAATATATAGATAAATACTGACTAGTATAGCAGCATATTAAAAAAAAGGAGTTTTACAAATCGACTGTATGTTACGCGATTGTATTGTATTGTTTGCTGTATGTATATCATTTGTGTGCGGCTTATCATTTTGACAAATTTAGATATGCACGATTTAGTAAAACGTAGTAACTTGTATACTCTTTGGATTTAGTTAAATGCCTATGTTCAGCGAAGCGTCGCTGCATGTAGGGTCGTTGCGCTGGTTTTCGGCCTTTTAGTGGAGTTGTTACCTTTAAGGTACTAGAAAAAATAATTGCCATTATGCTGGCCTAGTGCTGTTAATGTTAATTTGTAGCTTACATAATGTCGGTTTCATTTTTGTAACTCATTGATGCTACAAGAAAAATTTCTTTTTTTATAATAATTTTTGATGTGAAAAATATGTAAAATGGTAGTTTTCGGCCCCAAATTTTAAATTGGACCGACCACAAGAATTTTAGTTTTCGGCCACTGCATTAGATACGATAGAAAAGGTGTCTTAACTTTAACTTAATATAATTTTTGTAAAATTATAATAAAATTTCGTGTCGTTAAATATGGCAATCAAATCTTCTCATTTTTTTGTACTTCCTCATATTTTCATCATCATCAGCCTTTCCATTACATCCCTTCACAAGTCCACTGCTGAACGCAGGCCTCCCCCAAAGAATGCCACAAAACACGGTCCTGAGCCACCTGCATCCATCGACTTCCTGCATGTCTTACCAGGTCGTCACTCCATCTAGTGGGGGACGCCCTACACTTCGTCTGCCGTTACGAGGCCGCCATTCGAGAACCTTTTTCCACATTGATTGTCGGTTCTTCGAGCTATATAGCCGGCCCATTGCCACTTCAGCTTACTATCCCGTTGGGCTATGTCGGTCACTATGGATCTACTACGGATATTCTCATTTCTAAGTTTATCACGCAGAGAAACCCCGAGCATAGCCCTCTCCATAGCTCGCTGAGCAACCCTGAGCTTCCTCATCCGGCCAGCAGTGAAGAACCACGTCTCAGTTCCATAAGTCATCACTGGCAACACGCACTGGTTGTACAGTCTCGTTTTGAGGTATACCTGACGAAAAGATTCCTACGTAATTTCCCGAACGCGCCTCATATTTTAGTCCTACAAAATCTGAGATGTATCTCAAATCCATTTGGTGCAAAAGTCACATCCAATTTTTTTCCACATCTTCTTCTGTATCGCTTGTTAAAATGTCATAACACCAGGTGCAATTTACTTTTACTCTTTCATTTTCCTTCATGGAATTCTTGGATTTTGCGATTTTTCGTTTTTGAACTTTAGCACTTTTTAACTTTTCTTTTTATATTCTTTTCTTTTCAAAATATCTTATATTTTTTGAACTTAGTTCAAACTTCTCTATTTTAACTTTCTCTTTATCTTTATAAAGTTTTCGCCACTCTGTAAATCAAATTGCTACAGAAGAAGGTGTACGTGTACTGTTAATGGTTGATTTTTTTACGAGTTCCGGTTTAAATAAATGTTTTTTTCTATCGCATCTCTGTATTCTTTATTTAATAGTACTGAAGCCGTTTGTTACCATCGGTGTTAGTGGTGATGATACCACCATCGTGGCCATTGTAATACTTTGAGTCGTTATTGTTGCATTACTGGAATCTATTACCATTTCCGGCATTATCAATACTGTTGTCATTGGTAAGCTTATTTGAGTTGGGATTACAAGAACATCATCTAACGATACTAAGGAATCGATATCCAAATAACTTCCTGACAAATGCAATGTTGAAATGTTGTTGGTCTAATGCATCGGTAATTTTTTTTTTTTTATTTATTTATTTAACAAAATTATTTAAATTTACACTATTAAAGTTTTACTGTCTGCCAAACTGCTCAGCAGTTTGTTGG